ATGATTAAGGTGCTGGGAAACTGTTTTGTGTAGGGTAATTACTGGTGTTTATTAAATCAAAGCATTGCATGCAGAATTGTGTTTTGTTCATCTAGCTTTAAAAGAGAATAGACCCTTTTCACATTTCCATATTTAATATAGCAGAAACCACCATAGTAGGGAAAACATTACAGTGGCCTTTATGAATGAGTCCTCCTTTATAATGTGTCTGACATGGAGGATTTGCTTATTTTAATGTCTTTATTAAAGTATTTACTCAATTTTTCTATTAAAGACATTCATTTAGTGGAACTATTTTCATTTTCAGGGAGAAGCAAACTTGACAAGGTCTGCAGTCCTTACTTTGAGTATTATTAGCTTAACTTCAAAGTTAAGGAACTCATGACAAGTTATCCAATGAGAACACAGTTTGCCAAAAAACATCTTAGTGTTAAGATCTTCTTAACTGGTAATGAGTATGTTCAGTGTGATGCTCGGTCTACCATTTAAGAATTATTTTTGTGTTAAGATGCTTTCAGGAAACCCAGCCAGGGTTAGTTAGCTGTCTAATGTTAATTCGAACATAGTCAATATTGGGAGTAGTTAAAGTAGTCAGTTATACCTCATTGTCTTCTGACTTCATATGAATTTTTTTTTTTTTACACTGAACAATGTTGTTTTGTGTCCAGTGTTGTAAATGGTGAGTTCAGTGTTGCTATGTAAGCGAACCAACATGACAGTGTTTAATTACTGAGACTTTTAAGCATTTTAAAAAAAAAACTAATTGTGATTAATTGCATGCCTTTGTGTAGGTAATCCTGATTAATCACATTCATTTTATTATTTTTTTTATTTGTTAAAATTTTACCCCAGTGAAAGATTTAAATGCAGTCAGGTTATATTAAGAAGAGTGGACACAATATGCTTCATAAACATTTACATGCTTACTTTATTTTTAGTGGGCCACTGCTTTGTTACATCCAAAAAATGTTCAATGCATGCCTCAGTTAATGATGTCTCTTCCCTGTTTTCATGACAATCAAAGAATGTGAATGCAATTTCCACTGTTTATCAATTATAATGGATTGTAACCCCAAGGTAGCTATGATTCCCCAATGATGTCACCAGTAAGCGAGACCGTTGTGGACCGTTTGCAAGAACGTTGTGGAAAAGAGGATGAAGCTGAGATTTGCTCCTTATTTTAAAGGTTCTTTTTCGAATTTCTGCTCCGACATAAATAGCAATGCAGTTACATTCTAGTGCTGACGTGCTGTTAAGGTAACTGCGGCATCATTTATGGTGGACAAGAAAAGTCTGAGCCTCATAAAAAGAGGAACAAGATAACATCCTACTGGTTCCTTTTCATAGCAGAGTACAGTAATGATTCTGTCAGTACATCATTTGAGATTTACAAACATCTGAAACTCCTTAACCTCAGTCCTCCCTTATTCTCTTGACACTGGTCTCTGAGGTGAACTTATTAGATGTCCATTCTGTATGCAACAAGTTAGAAGTTAGAACACTTCTGTTTCAGGTTCTAAATTTGTACTGAGAACTTACACACGTGGACAAAGTTGTTGGTACCCTTCCGTTAAAGAAAGAAAAACCCACAATGGTCACTGAAATAATTTGAAACTGACAAAAGTAATAATAAAATAATAAAAAATTACTGAAAATCAACCAATGTAAATCAGACATTGCTTTTGAATTGTGATTCAACAGAATAATTTTAAAAAACAAACTAATGAAACTGGCCTGGACAAAAATGATGGTACCCCTAGAAAAGATTGAAAATAACTTGACCATAGGGACATGTTAAACTAAGGTTTGTCCTGTAATTAGCATCACAGGTGTCTTCAAACTTGTAATCAGTCAGTCTGCCTATTTAAAGGGTGAAAAATAGTCACTGTGCTGTTTGGTATCATGGTGTGTACCACACTGAACATGGACCACAGAAAGCTAAGGAGAGAGTTGCCTCAGGAGATTAGAAAGAGAATTATAGACAAACATGTTAAAGGTAAAGGCTATAAGACCATCTCCAACAGCTTGATGTTCCTGTTACTACAGTTGCAAATATTATTCAGAAGTTTAAGGTCTACGGGACTGTAGCCCACCTCCCTGGACATGGCTGCAAGAGAAAAAATGAAGACAAATTGAAGAGACGGATAATACTAATGGTAACTAAAGAGCCTAGAACAACTTCCAAAGAGATCAGAGGTGAACTCCAAGGTCAAGGTACATCAGTCTCAGATCGCACCATCTGTCACTGTTTTAGCTAAAGTGGACTTAATGGAAGATGACCAAGGAGGAAACCACTGTTGAAAGCAATTCATAAAAAAGCGAGACTGGAATTTGCCAAAATGCATATTGACAAGCCAAAAGTGGAAGGTGCTGAAACATGCAGTCTGGAGAAGGCACCCTTCAAACCTGAGACAGCTGGAGCAGTTTGCTCATGAGGAGTGGGCCAAAATACCTGTGGACAGGTGCAGAAGTCTCATTGAGAGTTACAGAAATTGCTTGATTGAGGTGATTGCCTCAAAAGGTTGTGCAACAAAATATTAAGTTAAGGGTACCATCATTTTTGTCCAGGCCAGTTTCATTAGTTTGTTTTTTAAAATTATTCTGTCGAACCACAATTCAAAAGCAATGTCTGATTTTCATTAGTTGTTTTTTTAGTAAATTTTTATTTATTATTACTTTTATCATTTTCAAGTTATTTCAGTGACCACTGTGGGTTTTTTTCTTTAATGGAAGGACAAAAAACCAACAATTTTGTCCACGTGTGTAATTGTCTGATTATAGCATGTCTTGTATTGTAAATTGTAATGTCCATTAATCTCTTTCTGCTGAGTGAGCAAGTCTTATCTGTGCTCCCAAAACAGATATATTAACTCTATCATGTGTAGTTACTCAGATCTGCTCATATGCAGCATGCTTTACTATTAGATACAACTGAATGTTCTGTTCACTCAGTGTATACTGCAGCCCTCCCACTTTCCTTGACATCTTCAGGAGTTCCTAGCTCCTCACCCCAGACCTGTGCCCACCAGCTAAGTATAGTACCTCTGTCGTAAAATGCAAATGCATATAAAGTACAAAAAGATACACAATGGTGCAAGATGGATTTGTGACAATCAGCATCTTGTTCCATTAACTATGCCTCAAGTTTAAATCAAAATCTAATCATCACAGAACCAAGTTATCTAACGCAACTAAAGTGTTTGAATTTTATGGCAGGCCATGTGGAAAAGTACTGCCAAAGCAGATAAAAGTCAGGATCAGTGGTCACTGAACTAGAGCATCCGCCTTGAGGGGAAGGTATAGGCTTTCAGAGGCCTTTAGTGTGATAACGGTAATATGTACCAAACAGGCCCAAATGTCTATATTTACACTCACCAAATTATTCGGAGTAAAATATGTTTATAATATTAATGTTTATTCTCCTGAGAGAGTTGGAGTGAGGCTTGGTCCACGAGACCCCATTCCATACCACAGCTATAGTATGCAAATCTGGGGGATAAGGGAGACCCAGGAGGGGACCTTTTGTTCATCGTCCATTTGATCACTGCCATCTGTAGTTTTATGGTAGATTCTTATATTCCGAGGACCTTTTGATCATTAATCACTACAGATTTCCCTCCACTCGGTTAGCACTAACAGAATTGACAGGTGTGCATGGCACTTCTCCGAGAAAGCACACATATTTCTTACATTCAGCCCTGTTTAACTTCTGAGGAAACATTACTTGATGGATAAGTTGGCAAACATTCAGATCTAGCACTATGTACAACTGAAATGCCTGTAGCTGACAATGATGATTAGATATCCTGAATTTTCTCAGCATGTGCCGGCATTATTCAATGTGTATTTGGTTTTTAGTGTTAATTTTTTGCATAAGTCTCCTTTTTATAACTTTACTTTATCTAACATTAGTACAATAAAGGCTCAATTATTTATCTGTATACCACTACATGAGAATGTCTTGTACACATGCATTAACATTTATCACTGTATAAACAATTATCATAGTAATGGGGCAACTTCATCAAAAACAAATTTACAGAGCTTACATTTCTTTCCCTTTCCATGTTCTGAACCATGCAAAGATCATCTGACACAGAACTCGGTCTACAGCATGAGACTGGGAAGGGTATATCTTTAAAGGTCTGTTACATGCAGTCACACAAATGCTGATTTTCCTTACAATGCTATGCAGCGATTTAAAACACGCACCCAAGCCATGGATCTGAAGACTCATTTTCAGGCACTTCATACAGACATCACAATTGCATCCATATTGTAAGAATGTAGTTGGCAACAGCAGAATATCTGCCTAATTTTCAGAAAATTCACTCCTAGGGTTCTGGAGCAGCAGCACCAAGTTTTAAAGCAGTTTTAGGTTATAATCTCACACTGATCTTTATTAAAAGCACTAAGGGACAGAAAACTGTTAACACTGAAGTGAAAGAGCATTCAGAGTCAGTGTGGTGGGTCATTAACAGTACATAATCAACTTAGTTATACGTTACAATTGCATGAATAACATGATCAGATTATACAAAAGATATTGTAAATAAGTTAGGGATACCATTGAGGATACCACCTAATAATACTACCTGAATACTATCTGAATGTGAGAGAGAGAGAGAGCTAGGACCAGAGATCCTGTCTCTACACAAAGTCCCTTTTTTCCTTTTTTCTCTCTCTCTCTCTCTCTCTCTCTCTCTCTCTCTCTCTCTCTCTCTCTCACCAAACCCATAGTTCTTTAACCTTTTATCATGACCAAACTGTTATTGATTAAAACCAAGTGCATCAAAACTATAGCTTGGTACATCGAGTGATGTCACTTTAAAATGTGTAAAAGGCTTCCTGGGTAGCATACACTTGTGTACTCTCTGATAGAAGCTGTGTTGACAGGAGTTGCTAGGAGTGGCTTCTCTCATCGGCTCTGGTATCCAGACAACCAGAAAAAGGTTGACACAGGATCATGGAGGGGAGACAGAGGATTGGTTTTTAAAAGGCAGTAACTGTCAGGTTTCTGAATGCAACCCTGGTCTCAGAAAAGTAGATGCTCTCCATTTTTTTGGGCCCTACACTAACATAACTGGCAAGGCTTTAGGGTCACCATGTTATTGTGACGATTAATACTGCTTAGTGGAGAGACAGAGAGAAATCTTAGACCAAGATTATCCAATCTTAAGTTGCAACAATCATAATAATAATAATATATTCATTCATACATTCATCAATCAAAGAAAGAAATAACATCATCATGAAAGAAATAAATCATAATTCAAAATTTCTTGTATGCCACAGGCTTGACTTAAGCGCAGGAAATTACATTTAATTTTATGCACACTCAAACAGGGTAAAAAAAACAAAAAGTGTTTTTCCCTCTAAAAGTGTTTTGGTAACACTCATTACTGCCTGTTTCTCCAACTGCTCTTAGTGCATGTGTGTATCTTAAAAGCATTTGAATGCCTGAAACTCTTCCCACACTCTGAGCAGTGGTATGGTTTAACTCCTGTGTGAATGCGCTGGTGTGTTTTGAGATTACTCTGTAGAGTAAAACTTATCCCACACTCTGAACAGCGATACAGCTTCTCTCCTGTGTGAATGCGCTGGTGTCGCTGGAGGGTACTCTGTCGATTAAAACTCTTCTCACAGTCTGAGCAGTGATATGGCTTCTTTCCTGTGTGAATGCGCTGGTGTTGTTGGAGATGAATCTGCTGAGTAAAATTCCTCCCACACTCTGAGCAGTAATATGGCTTTTCCCCTGTGTGAATGCGCTGGTGTTGTTGGAGAGTACACTGTCGATTAAAACTCTTCCCACATTGCGAGCAATAAAACAGCTTCTCTCCTCTGTGAATGCGCTGGTGTGTTTTCAGATTACTCTGTTGAGTAAAACTCTTTCCACACTCCAAGCAGTGATATGGTTTAACTCCTGTGTGGATGCGCTGGTGCTGTTGGAAAGAACTCTGTTGAGTAAAATTCTTCCCACACTCTGAGCAGTGATATGGTTTAACTCCTGTGTGAATACGCTGGTGTCGTTGGAGAGTAATCTGTAGAGTAAAACTGTTTCCACACTCCATACAGTGATACGGCTTCTCTCCTGTGTGAATGCGCAGGTGGTGTTGGAGATTGCTCTGTCGATCAAAACTCTTTCCACACTCTGAGCAGTAATGAGTTCTGTCCTTGCTGCATTTATGTGTTTGTCTGTGAGATGTCTTTGTGTGGAGGGCTCCAGATTGCATTTGCTGAGTACCGGAGCTTCTTCTGGAAGTCATATTCTTATATTTAACCTGTTTCAGCAGCTTAACGTTACTCTTACTGGATTGTACTGACATTTAGAGAGCTACATTTGAGTGGTGTAGGAAAGTCAATCCTGGGAACAGAAGAAGACTAAAAGCAGGACGTCATTCATTTCTGGAAGAAGAAAAGAAATAGAAAATCTAAAGTCAATGTGAAATGCAACAAAAGTAGTCTGATCTAAATTATTAATGCCCTACCTACATCAACTGGCAGAAACTGTAAATAAAGGAAAGCATAAACATCCATCTAATGTGTAAACGCCAATCAATCAATTACTTAAACTCTTCAAATAGACACATAGACCAATGAAGTTGGGTAGTCATTCTTTAGTTGTCGTCAGGCCCATATTAGAAACTTCAGGCCTAAGTTCGATTTCTCTATGGCAAAAATTAATGGGATTTTTGAAAATCACCCTGTGAAGTGGCATTAAGAAATTAAAGTTAAGGACAACTATTGAAGTCAAGACAAGATCTGAAAGAGTAAGAAAAAAACAGCTTGTAGACTGGTCAAGTAAGCAAAGCAAAACACCTGTATCACTGCCAAAGTCTAGGACTAGGAAAACTAGCTCAACCACGCTCTTAAAAAAAAGATGCTTCTTCAAGCGTTCTTTAGTAAAGAAAATTATTCTATATAGAACCATGAACACTCAAAGAACCCTTTGCATGACGTAAGGGTTCTTTGCATCATGAAAATCAATTTGCATCAATTCTTCAGATTGATGTAGAATGTGTTGTAGATGGTTCTATATGGAACCTTTTTGAAAAGGGTTCCAAAACCTTTTTGAAAAGGGGTCTATATAGCACCCAAAGGCGTTCTTCTATTGTTACATTGTTGTTGTTTTTTTGTTTTTTTTTAGAGCGCATCACTTTACTATCCTGGTAAATCATTCACAATAAACACCATAAAACATGTAGCTCTGCGTTAGAGCGCAGTCGGTAAACATTACCAACATGGCCCATTCGGACCAGACTAAAATCACCGAGAAACGCCGGTAATAATCACATTACCCCACCTCCTCATGTAAAACTCCCGTCCGAATAGGGATTTAGTCTTACAGTTTTTCCTGACAATGAGTACCTTTATATGCACATTAATACGATCAATAATTAAGGAGCTGACTTGATAAAATTAGCACACAAAACAACAGAAGCACTTAGGATAAGCCAAGAATCCCAAAGTCTTGATCTAAAGGACATGCCTTTGATGTCTTTGGAACTAACCTGCCAAATAAATCAGACACAAACTGCTCTACGTTTGCCAAACCCAACTAGGAAAACATTAACGTCATCAATCTAATATCCTGGCACATCAGCTCACATTACTCTGCCAAGTTTGAATAAAGCTGCTTCTGTGTTGGCTAATCTATTTTAAACCCATCAGATCTTATTTTCAAAACTCAAATGTCGAAAAGTCTCCAGCTGTTTGTCTCAGAGTGAATGAAGAACAATGAGTGTTAAAGTGTCGGACAGCTTCCTACCTTCAATAGTTCAGCTCTTGTTTCTGTTCCTCCAACAACACTGTATGAGCGCGGAGGCGTGGACAGCTGACCACAACCATAGATATATCTATGACCACAACCATCTATGACCACAACACAATCTTCTGCTTCTCCGCTTTAGTGCAGACAGAGTTCTCGTTATAGAATTAGCGTCACCACCTGGTCTGAAGCGGAACCACGCGCTAACGAAAACATACGGACTGGTAGGTATTTTAAAATCCCACCCGTATTCAGTCAAGCCCCGCCTCCAGCGCTGTGATTGAATAACAACAAAGCTGCCATCGGCTGCAGTACAGTCTACGACAGCGGGCACTAACCCAGGTTCTTAAGATCTACCTTCTTGCAGTTTCTAGTTCCCACCACAATCTGCCACACCTGCTCCAGCTAATTAACTTCTTCAATAGTCTGTGATTGGCTGCAGCAAACGCATTAGTGTCAGGTGATGGTAGGGCAGCATGCAACATGCAAGTTATAACTAAACTCTACAGAAAAGTAGATCTCCAGAAGGAGGGTTGGTGACCATAGGGCTATGACAGGGGTGCCCAATCCTGCTGGAGACCCAACTCCCTGCAGAGTTTAGCTCCAACCCTAATCTAACACACCTGATCCGAGTAAACAAGGCCTTCAGGGGCATCTGACTATATGAGTCAGGTGTGTTGGATCCAAACTTTCCAGGATGGTAGATCTCCAGGACCAAGACTGAGCACCCCTGGTCTATGACATATGCTCTTTAGTTACATGCAGCATCTTAATACAAATTAGAAACAAGAAATATCATTTTTCAAAACTGTATCATCTAATTTGGACAGGATGACATAAGTACACCCTAACATCCTCTAATTAAAAAAATAACCTTTTATACCAATGATGTGGGAATTTTGTATCAGTCATGTAGTTAGCTAACATTACTGGACTGTTCCATTAATGTTACTTTAACAACATTTACATAATGTTAGTCAAAGTTGTGGGAATGTTTCCTGTTAGCTAGGTAGTTAGTATTGAGTAGATTTACAGAAAAAAATTAAACTTTTGGAGGCATGAATTGTACAATTTTTAGTATATTCATGATAGCTAGTCAGCTAGTTAAAGTCTTTTGCTTGCTCACTCTACAGTTTTACCTCAGTGACTGATGTTAGGACAGAGCCAGTTTAAGCGGAGCCTGGCCACTTCCTATTTCTACCTTTATATGAAAACCATGATGGCACCGGCAAGCAAGAAGGCTACAAAATGAAACAAAATGAAAAATGAAATGGTTTCTTACAGTTTGTGTAGGACCTTCTTTTAATTTTGGAAAGTTGAAGGACGCATTCTATTACACAATTCCAAGAAAACTTGCCCGCATCTTTTCAGTTTTTCTACAGCAAACAGGTTTTGAGCTGTAGAACTGAGTGCTGATTGGTGGGTGAGCTGATTATCTGATGCCATAGACGTAAGTAGAGAGGATACATGAAGCTTTCCATTTCACTATATTGAAAGCTGACCTTTAAAAAAAAAAGTATGAAGACTTGATAATCCAATGACCACAGTTTTATTCTGTTCACACTAATAAGGAGCACGAGCGTCTTATAAGAGTGGATTATTAAAATGTTATTGTTAACGTGGTATTATTACTGTAGAATTATTGGGGTGTCAGATAACTACACTGCTACGATCGATTAAACTGCTTATTTACTAATCACAACAATTTTATGTCTACATCTAAGTACATTTTATTTCTTCGTCATCCTCATATTACATTTATAAGTGATATTTATATGTTTGTATTTCTATTGTATAAAGTTAAGAAGTGATTTTTCATATTTGTTTTAAGGTAAAGAGACTGAAGCTGTAGTTGGTGTATTTGTGTTTGCCACTCTTCTCTGTGTCAGTATAACAGCACCTAAAAGAAGAAACACTGCAGCGAGTAATAGACTCCATACGAGTTATAATGTTCCTTTTCTCCTTTTAAACTTTCAGAGAAGTGAAATGAGAAGTTTGGAGTGACAGTGGAATACGGACTGAATACAGGCGGGGTTTAAAATAACGACCGTTCCCGTGACCACGTGGTTCAAGAGTGAAGCCGCTTCAGGCCAGGTGGTGGCGCTCATTCTGTAACTATAACTTTCTCCAACTGCACTAAAGCGGAGAAGCAGAAGGTTGTGTTGTGGTCAGCGGTCTACGCCTCTGCGCTCACAGTGTTGTTGGAGGAACAGAAACAAGCTGAATTATTGAAGGTAGGAAAGCTGTCAGATAATTGTATGCTGCGTTCACGTGTTTGTGGTAGACGGACAACACTAAACCGGATAGTGCATTGTTTTCAACGAAGCTGCGATGGAAAATTCTGCCACTGCAAACAGCGACAGTCCGCCGACCGCAGCGGTGAGCGGAACGATCCGGTATTGTGCCGAATTCGGCACCCCTGCCGCGAGATGCATCCCCTCACGGGAGCGCGCGCTCAAAGTCTTTTGCTCGAAAGCGGAGATCATCCGCTTTTACTTTACATATATCGATTTGAAGAACTTGCAAAACGTCACCTTCGTCTTGAGCAACAACACAATAACTCGCTGTTTTACAGAATGGAAATACCCCAGATGTTTTTCTAAAGTACATACATACGTCATCTAAACCGCTTATCCTTCTGGGTCGCGGTGGGGTGCTGGAGCCTATCCCAGCTGTCATTGGGCGGAAGGCAGGATACACCCTGGACAGGTCGCCAGTCCATCGCAGGGCAGACAGACAGACATTGTGTGATTCAAAACATATTATAGTTGTGTCAACAGAAAGAAAGTTATAGGCGGGTGCCTTTTAAGGCAGTCCACCTGCCAAGAAATGCACCCCCTCTAAAATCTGGCTACATTATTATTACATCCATGATACTTATACAGGTATCACATATTGGTCCAACATATGTGTGATTAAAAACATATCACAGTTGTGTCAACAGAAAGAAAGTTATAGGCGGGTGCCTTTTAAGGCAGTCCACCTGCCAGGAAATGCACCCCCTCTAAAATCTGGCTACATGATACTTATACAGATTTTTCAGGATAGCAAACATACCAAGGAAACGTACAATAAAGAAAATATAAAAACAGAGAAAAATAATCTAGAAGGTTATTATGTTCACTTAAACCACATGCACAAAGGCTTAAAGAAAATCAGCAGGCTAAAAGACTTGAGAGAAAGAGAGAGAGAAAGGCAGATAGACAAAGACAGAAAGTGGTGGGGTGAGAGCTCTTGCAGGTGTCTCCCCATCTAACACAGACTTCATCGAGGCAGTTAGAGCGTTTTCATATTATATGTAAATGAGACAATCTACACATATAATTACTGATCCATCATTACAAAACAAAACTATTATAATGCAGACTTAGATAGGTTTAGAAACAAAACTGAACAGAGTCATTGGTGAGATTCAGTCAACAAAGATATGGTGTCTCGTAGTCTTATCAGCAAGAGTCTCAGACCCAAGACCTTGAAGGTTCCCAAAAGGTCACCTTTCATCAAGTTATATACAATGACTAAAATACCCAGTTCGGTCTCCTCTACCATCGGTCACTGCCATGTCTGTTGACATAGATTTGAGAAAAATATTCTTAAGCAAGAATTCAAAATATTCAAATTTGATTACAGGAGATAATCTGCATCCCTTCAACATATTTGGAACCAATATGCAATACCTGTATAAGCATCCTGGATGTAATAATAATATAGCCAGATTTGAGAAGCAGTGTATTTCCCAGCAGGTTTGTTGATACTACTATGAAACATTTTAGTAATGCATATTTGGGGCCAATATGTGACACCTGTATAAGTATCATGTAGCCACATTTTAGAGGGGGTGCATTTCCTGGCAGGTGGACTGTCTTAAAAGGCACCCACCTATAACTTTCTTTCTGTTGACACAAATGTTCTTAATCACACATATTTTAGACCAATATGTGATACCTGTATAAGTGTCATGAACGTAATTATAATGTAGCCAGATTTTAGAGGGGGTGCATTTCTTGGCAGGTGGACTGCCTTAAAAGTATATAATACTTTCTTTCTGTTGACACAACTATAATATGTTTTTAATCACACATAATTGTGACCAACATGTGAAACCTATACAAGTATCATAGATACAACAACCCCCCAGCCAGATCTAACAGAGGGTTCTTTTCCTGACAGGTGGACTCACTTGAAAAGCATCCTCTTGTAACGTTTTTTATGAATAGAACTATGAAATATATTAGTAATATACACTTAGGGCCAACATGTGTTTTCTGCAATAAATGTTCAGGAATGCAACACCAATTTAGCAAAATCTGGCATTTTCTGGCCAGTGTTCTGATATACAAAGCATTTCCTTGTCATTTTCTTTCTTTTGAGTCTACCATGAAATGATTTTAGCAGTATGTATTTGCAAACAGTATGTATCCATGCAAGGTACATGGCAGCAATAAGAGTGTATCCCGATTTATAATGGGTTGCATCTCCTGAGAGTTTTTACAAGTCACTGCCTTTAGAGTGTAAAATCTAAAGAACCTGATCCAGACTGGTGAGAAACATGACACGATAAGTAGGTGAAATTCATATGTATGTTTTGTTGACAAATAGCAACAAGCAACAAGTTTTGCTGCCTACAAAGTCAATGCAGACTGCTATGTCGTAGAATAAGGAAGCAGCGGTGTATGTAGGCTACATTATACTTTTGTATTACTATTTACGAGTCACTGTACTTTAGAAGAACATCTGGGGTATTTCCATTCTGTAAAACAGCGAGTTATTGTGTTGTTGCTCAAGACGAAGGTGACGTTTTGCAAGTTCTTCAAATCGATATATGTAAAGTAAAAGCGGATGACCTCCGCTTTCGAGCAAAAGACTTTTGCGCGCGCTCCCGTGAGGGGGTGCATCTCGCGGCAGGGATGCCGAATTCGGCAGAACACCAGCAAGAGTTAAATTTCCCCAACTTTTGCCGTCGACCGCAGTGGTGGAACAAACCGGATGTTGGATTTTTTGAGAGCCATGGACGCCAAATGTCTCTGTTGTACAACAAAAATAAAAAAAGTACAGAGCGTCCTCCCGCCTTTTCCTGCCTTAAATAAACAATATATTCTGCTAAAGCTTTTTCTCTGATAATCAGCCACTTTCGCCGGCCTCGCGGTCACCATGGCAACGATTGT